CATCATGTGGATCATCACAATCCAGACCATCTCTATGGACTAATTTATGTGGATGAGGAATTCTTTGATGTTCATCGGATGTAACTAATGTACATCGTATTATTGCATTATCTGGATATTTATGTAACTATATAAAATATTGAAGTTATTTATTTATTATTTGTATAACTTTTAAAAGTTCAAAATTATATATTTTTATTCTTAATATTAAATAATTATTAATAAATTATATATTATAATATTAAATAATGTCAAATAACTATTATTATAATTATATATATACTTTTACTGTTGGTGCATTTTTACGACGATTATTATTACTACTTGATCCCATTAAACTTCCATGTGTTCCTACCATTTCTGATTTATATCGAAATCTAAATTTATCTACTGGTTGTTCCAAAATTGTTATATATGGTGTTTCAATAACTTAAAGAAAAATAATAAAATATATTTTATAATATTTTAATATAAAAAAATTAAATATTACAAAATATACTTATTGCATCTTTTAATGATAAAAATTCAGTATCCGATAATGATGATAATACAGTAGACATAGGTGAATTAATACTTGCTGTTCCTTGAGATCCATAGAGTGGACTACAAATATCTTGATTGTTCATTGCTTAAAAAGAATAATATATATTTTTTTTATTCACTATTGCAAAATTTCACTACTTTGAAAAATATTTGTTTAAAATAAAATTAATTATAAAAATTAAAAACAAATTGACAATTACCATATCCATAAGAAAAATTTTGGTTTTCAGAGATAGATTCTAAAGTTGTATAATTCTCGTAAATTTCAGGCATTATGTTATTAGAAAATTATTACACAATTAAATAAATATTTAATTCAAATATTTAGAAATAATTAACATATTAGACATTAAAAAATATAAAAATAAAACAAACTTTAAATTGAGTACAACTCTTACGTATCAATTCTATACGACGTTCATGTACTCACCGAACATTAAAATTATTTATCCTAAAAATGCGTCAGCATATATAACCTTGATCAGATATGGTAGGTTTTTCCCCGTATAAAAACTAATCATTCTTAAAAATTAATTTTCCGCGAGAATATTAATATTAACAATCTGTTGAATCCTCAAATTCAACTCTAATGTTGAGTTCAATATATTTTATATAAATTCTTAATTTTGTATGAATAATTGTATGAATTTCTATAAATAATTAGATAATAAATAATTAAATATCGACTATTTAATTTACAAATAAAATAAATGAATATCTTTTGATTAAAATTTAGATTATGAGAATATTTATTTTTTATGTATTTTTTTATCAATTACTTAGATTTTGATGAGTTTTAAAAAATATTAATTTTAAGAATTTAATTTTAAAAATTTATATTGTTAAAAATTATAAATTATAAATATAACCCAATATTGATATAAATTTTCATATTTCATAAAACTATAATTCTAAATGAAACATAAACAAATTTATTTTCAATAAATAAAAATTTAATTAGAAATTAATGTTTTCTTTGGAATATTTCTATACAAGATTAAAAATATATATTATCTATAATTTTACGAATGATATACTTTATTTATATAATCGCTGATTAGATTCAATAAACAATTCAATAAATATATGCGTAAATAATACTTATTTTTAAAAATATGTAATTTTTAATATTATGAATTCCAATTTTAAAATTTATATCTTTGGATTTTATTCAATAAGAAATAAATAATTAAATTTTAATCTATTTTTTTCATTCAATTTTCTATACATAATTAATTATATAATAATATATTTTATATATATATATATATATATATATATATATATATATAAAATTTCCAGATGATTAATAGCTATCAAACATAATCGAATTTAATTATAATCATATTTTACAAAATCGATGATGGAATTATCTTATGAGCACACGTACATACACATATATATATTTATATATATATACGTATATTATGAGATAAGAATGCAAGTTACATACTAAATATATAGTGACGAATAACATACAATTATTAACACTTTAAGTACGAACTTCATGCAGTAAACTTTCGATATTGTAAAGTGATATTCAGACAGCCAACGATGTCTTTTAAGAATGAAAAAATTGGTATAATTGGCAGGTAATAAAATTTAATTAAATATAAAATAATTAAAAATATTAACTAGTTTTTATTTAAAGATGATTTAGTGATTTATACATATTTATATCATTTCATATTATTATAATAAAATTATTTTTAACAAACAATAATTATTCAATTAACTTATTTTATAAAGTTATTAAACATTTTTATATATTTTATAATTTTACATTTAATATCATGTATAATATATTAATTATATAATATATACATGTAATATAATAAGTATTTTTTAATAAACATATACAATTATAAATTTAAAAAGAAAGTTATTTATAAAAAAAAAAGAATTATATTTATCTAAAAATTATTTTGAAATTATAATTCGTTAAAAAATTCTATTACTGATACCCTTAAATTGATAAGATAATAACAGAAAAGTTAAATAGTAAACAACAGAGAATTATAAAAAATTTTCTCTTCTTTTAATAATATATCGAACATAATATAATGCTATATGTTTATATATGAAATCCCAAGTTTAAGTTTATCTAACTTAAATAATACAATTTATAATAACAAATTAACATAAAATATATATATAATAATAATTGAAAATATTAATTCAATTTAATATATAAATTGATATAACGTAATAAAATAATAACATAAAATAATAACAATAAAACATAATAACAATATAATTTATTTTAGTGGTTTAATTGGTCGCAGTTGGTCAATGCTTTTTGCTAGTGTAGGATATGAAGTAATTATTTATGACATTGTAAAAGAACAAATCACTCGAGCTCTTGAAGATATTCATCAGCAATTAAAGCATCTTGAAAATAGCGGTCTTTTGAGAGGTGCACTTACCGCGGAGCAACAATTTAAATTGATTAAAGGTTCATATACATGTATAATTATACATAAAATTTATATTATATAATATAATTCAAAAACAATATTAAACAATTCAAAATATATATTATTAATTAATTTAATCAATTATCAACAGGATCAACGAATTTAGTCGAAGTTGTAAAAGGGGTTAAGCTAATACAAGAATGTGTGCCTGAAAATTTACCATTAAAACTTAAACTTTATAATGAACTCGATAACTTAGTTGATGATAAAGTTATTTTATCTTCTTCAACATCTACTTTTCGTCCCTCTTTATTAAGCGAAAATTTAAAACATCGTGAACAAGTTATTGTATCACACCCGGTATGTATGCATATTACTAAATTATATGTATATATAAGTATATATAATAGTGATAAGTATAATATAACTATGTATAATCAATATTCGTATATATCATAAATATTCATATATAGTCAAGTCAAATCATAATTTTAAATTAATTAGAAAATATTAATTAGAAAATAAATTAATTAGAAAATAAATCAAAGTTTCATGAAATAAAATAGTTTCAAGTAATGCATATGCATCTTTTAATGCATTATTCGAAACTATTTAATTTTGTCTATAATGAAATTTTTTTTACATTCATGTTTCCCATTTTAAATTATAATATTTATGATTTATTAATTATAAAATGTATAAACAATCTGTATAAATCTTTATACAGATCTTTAAACAAATTCTTTCAACTTAAAAATTTTGTAAAAATAAATAACTAATTATATTATTTTAAATATAGGTAAATCCTCCGTATTACGTACCACTTGTAGAAATTGTGCCAGCTCCTTGGACTCGTGCTGAAATACCATTGCAAGTGAAAGCTATTATGACTGAAATAGGTCAAACACCTGTTGTACTAACTAGGGAAATTGATGGTTTTGTGCTTAATCGAATACAGTAATGTAACATTTTTACAATATGAACTTTTTAAATTTTTTTAAATTTATAATCTTTTTCTTTTTTATATATTTTTTATATATTTATCAAAAATATTATATAATATATAGTATATAAATAATATATAAAAATATTGTTTACTTTAGATATGCAATTTTAAATGAAGCATGGAGATTAGTTGCTGACGGAATATTAAATGCGAAAGATGTAGACGCAGTTATGAGTGAAGGTCTTGGGATGCGATATGCATTTCTTGGTGCATTTGAAGCAGCACATTTAAATGCAGAAGGTATATGTAAATTCTTAAAAAGCAAAATAATTTATTAAATCATTTAATTGCATTTTTCTCAGGAATGAAAAAATATTGTGAAACGTATAAAAATTCAATTTATGATGTAAGTATGACATTTGGTCCAGTTCCTAAATTTGAGGGAGAAATGGCAGAAAAAATTAGCAATGAATTAAATGAGATGTGTCCACTAGAAAAATTAAAAGAAAGACGTATATGGAGAGATGATGCTTTGACAAAATTATCTCTATTAAAAAAAGAATTGAATAAGAAAAAATAAAAAAATTGTTATTATATTAAAATGTTGAAATTGTTTATTAACTAAAATTGTAACAAATATAATGTGTTTAAAAGTTATTTTGTATGAAATTTTTATTGAATCTCGTTAACAATTTGATTTTTAGATTCACGAAATTTTTATCCGAATTTTCATCAAGTTTCGAAACTATCTTTTTTTTTTTTAATATTTATTTATTAAAAAATAAAATCTTAATAAGTTTTGATTTTTAAGTTTTTCAAATTTAGAATTCGATTATTATTAATTAAATAAAAATAAATTTATCATTATAATATTTTCGTTTTATTTAAGTTTTTAATACAAATTATTTTTTGAATTTCGAATTATAAAAATAATAAAAAGTTTTAAGAATCAAAATTTTTTAAATTGCAAAAAATTTTGTTAAGTTTCAAATAATCTTTGTTTTTGAATATTTTTAAAACAAAAATTAAAATATCTTAGTATTTAGTATTTTAATTGATGAAAATATTGTTTGGAAATTGAAATAAAAAATAAATTACTTAAATATAAAGTATATTTTTATTTATACAATGCTAAAATTTAACGTTTTCCTCCAACACGTGGAGCTGATTTTTGTGTTATTTTTGCAGCTTTATGTTTTGGAATAGCCTTTGTTTTAGGAGGTACAACTGCTTTCTTTGTTGCTTTTGCAGCTTTCTTTTGTTCCTTTGCAGCTCTAAAATAGAATTTATTTTACATACATATATTTTGATAAATATAAGATGTATACGTATAAATATTATATTTTATATAACAATTATATTATATTATATATAATAATATTTATATGTATAAGATTTGTATGAACCCGCAAAAGCCAGACAGTGTAATGAATATAACAATTCTGGGTGAAGCAATTCATTTATTCTAAGACATTCTGAAATCAAACATGAAATGATATATCATATCTAAGGAACAGATGTCTATAAATTTTTAATTTTTTAATTTTTTTCATTGTGTAATTAATCTTTGTGATTAAATTGAATGATATAATTGTGATATAAATTGAGACAAAAGTTTAAGTTTTGGAACAATACTTACTTAATTGCTTGTTCTCTCTGTGCTTTACGAATTTCTGGTTTCATATTACGTTTTGCTAAAATATCTGTAAGAGATGCACCTACAATAGCACGTTGAAATTTTTGAGTACGTCTTGTTCTTTTTTTTGCTTGTTCTTCTTCTTGTCCTTTTTTATGTTTTCGTCTATAATATTAAATTATACTTTATAAGATGAGTCTAGCTTTTATCATTGAAACTTAAAAACTTAAAAAATTAAAAATAAATATACCTATATAATACAGTCCACGTGACTTTTCTTGGATTACGCCTCATTAAATGTGCGGATTCACATTTTGAATTCAAGAAAGTGAATGTCTAAAAAAATATAGAGGTTATAGATATCAAATAAATGTAAGAAAATAAAAATTAATAAATATAATAGTAATAATGAGAATTTAAGAAAAAATAAGAAAAATATTAATAATAATTTAAGAAAAAATAATTAATTATTAAACATACTTTTCCATCCACTTTTACCATGGTTTTACCATGACCGGGATATATTTTATATCCACTGTATGCACAAAGCCCGATCCTGAAAAGATTAATATCATATTTATTATAAATATTTTAATAATATATTCTTGCAATATGTTGAAATAATTTTTTATGATTGCATTTAATTTAATAGATATACTTCTCAAAAACTTCCACTTACTTCATGTTCAATTATCAAGAAAAGACGGATTCCACAAAAATGGCTGACTTTATCATATATACAATATGGTGGAATATATATTAAATAGTACCAATTCTTTAAAATTAAATTTTATATTTAATGATATTAAATATATTAGTAAATGAGTTAAATGCATTTAATATAAATATTTTAAATAGAAATATCTATAAATTTTTATAATACAGATAGTTTTATGAAATTAAAGATATTAGCTATAAATTCCTTTTAATACATATAACAAAGATGACAATTATTTTTTGATAATAATTATAAAATGAATTTTTATCTAACAATATACAATAAAAGTTTTTATAATAATTATTAAATTGAAAATATTTATAGTTTAAAATTATTATAGTTATAAAAAAAGTAAAAAATTACATACTTACTTTTATATTTTTAAGGTTAATATTTACATGTGTATTGTTATCAAAGCAAATTGTAAATCTCGAAAATGAAAAATATAAATATTGTGGGATTTGCTGATCCAAAAGAAATAAGTGATAATGATGAAGAAAATGAAATTAATGATATTAAGAAGAAAGTATATAAAAAATCAGGAGGATTTCAATCTATGGCTCTTAGTTTTCCTATATTAAAAGGAATATTGAAGCGTGGATATAAAATACCAACACCTATACAAAGAAAGGTAAACTGATTTTAATCAAAATAAATGAATAATATTTATAATTATTATAATTACAAATGAATATTATTTTAATAAATAATATTATTTATAACTGGCATATGATAATGTAATAGATTATTTTTTATTTTATTATGTTTCATTATTGTATGATTATTATGATATAAAATATGTAATGTTTTTATAGACAATTCCATTAGCTTTAGAAGGCCGTGATATAGTAGCCATGGCTAGAACAGGTAGTGGAAAGACTGCTTGTTTTTTAATTCCTTTATTTGAAAAACTTAAAACAAGACAAGCAAAAGCTGGTGCAAGAGCTTTAATTTTATCACCTACTAGAGAACTAGCATTACAGACATTGAAGTTCATAAAAGAATTAGGCAGATTTACAGGATTAAAAGCAACTATAATTTTGGGTGGTGATAATATGGAAAATCAATTTAGTGCAATTCATGGAAATCCTGATATATTAATAGCAACACCAGGAAGATTTTTACATATATGCATAGAAATGGATTTACAATTAAATAATATAGAGTATGTAGTCTTTGATGAAGCTGATAGGTGAATATTTATATATATATATTTTTCTTTAAATTATAATTTTTTTTTATTAAATTAATTTATAAATTATATTATACAGATTATTTGAAATGGGTTTTGGTGAACAAATTAATGAAATTATAAATAGATTACCAGAATCAAGACAAACATTATTATTTTCTGCAACATTACCTAAACTTTTAGTAGATTTTGCAAAGATTGGTTTAAATGATCCTGTTTTATTACGTTTAGATGTAGAAAATAAAATACCAGAACAATTAACACTTTCATTTATAATATGTCGACCAGAACAAAAATTAGCAATATTGTTATGTTTATTAAAAAATGTTATTAAAAATAATACTCAAACAGTAATATTTGCTGCAACAATGCATCATGTTGAATATATTCATCAGGTATGAAATTGATGTTTGTAATTAATATTAATTATTGTAATTTAATATTAATATACTATTTCATATATAATAATCATATTTCATTAATAGATATTAGAAAAAGCAGGAATTTCTAATACATATATTTATTCAAATTTGGATGCATCAGCTCGAAAAATAAATGCAGCTAAATTTCAAACTAATAAAGTCCATGTTTTAATAGTAACAGATGTTGCAGCACGAGGTTTAGATATTCCACATTTAGATAATGTAATTAATTTTAATTTTCCTGCAAAGTCAAAACTTTTTGTACATAGAGTAGGTAAGTAAATATTTTAAATTAGATGTTAATTTATAAGCTAAAACATATAATTAAATATTTCAATTATTTTATAAGTAATGATTTTGAAAAATATTTGAGATAAAAATTGATTAGTTTCAAACAAAAACATTTGTGTTATTATCAAAACATAATTTGACATGATGATTTTTTATAACAATGCAACTGACATGAAAACGAAAATTGTAAATGATTATATTGTACTGATTATAGATTTTTAAATGAAATTATATATTTTTTAATACATTAATTAATATTATTACTTTATTAAAAAATTATTAAATTTATAATAAAAAATTAATAGTTAAAAAGATATTTTAATTTGAATTATAAAACTTATTATTATATGTAAAAAAAGCAAAAAAGGGAAGAACTTGCATATTTCTTATTTCTCTTATAAAAAATTTTGCAAAAATCAAATTAAAATATCTTTTAATGGTTTCTTTTATATTCTTTTATGAGTTAAAACATTTTCTTAGTATATTTTCAGCATAGATTATCAATTAAAATAAATGACAGAATAAAAAATATATATTTTTGTTTAGAAAAATAAACTTAATCTTCATATATTCTCTATGTAATTATAAAAAAATATTTACATTAAATTATATAAAATTATATCTCTCATTTATTTTTATTAAAATTATTATTTATAGAGTAATGAACTGGCTCCATATCTTCTCTCATATAATATAATTAATATATATAATAATATATATAATAATAATTATATATTATAATATAATGAAATATATATCTTATATAGTATTCATATTATCTAGGTCGTTGTGCACGAGCAGGTCGTACTGGTACTGCATATAATATTGTTAGTCCAGATGAATATGCTTATTTGCTAGATTTACACCTTTTTCTTGGACGTTCATTACATATTGTACCATCTTCTGGATCCATACAAAATACAGATGGTATTATTGGTAAAATGCCACAAGCAATGATAGAAGAAGAACTTGCAGAGTTAATAAATTGGCATAATTGTTCCACGGATCTTGTATGTATTTTAATGTAATTATTTAAAAAAATATTATTAATGATTTTAAATTTCTATTTTATTAAATTTATACATAGAAAAATATGGAAAAAGTTTGCAGTAATGCATATAAACAATATATTCGATCACGACCTGCAGCATCATCAGAAAGTATTAAAAGAGTAAAGGACTTACATATAAGTGAAGCAGGAGTTATACCAGAATATTCTGATGTTTCTTCAAATACTATGAATTTATTATCAAAAATAGTAAATTACAGACCACAAGGAGTATGTATATTATAAAATTTGTATCAATTACATCATAATTACATAGTTACATAATATTTAACTTTTAAATATAAATATTTCAGACAATATTTGAAATTGGAGCAAAGACATCCTCTATTGATTATCAGGTTATGAAAAAAAAACGTACATTACACAAAGAAAATATTATAAATTTTCACAGAAAAGCAGATGAATTAAAAATTAAAAAAAAATCGGAAGGTAAATACAAATTTTAATAAACAAATTATTTAATACAAATTTCATTAATATAGATTTGTAATCTAATAATTGAAAGTATATATTATAGATTTATCAAGAACAGTGGATCTTCCATCAAGTACAACTGATGAAATCAATACAGCATTTAATACAATTGTGCTTCCAAAGAAAAGAAATCTCGATGATTTGTATAAACGTAAAAAGAAAAAACGATCAATAATACGAGATGAAGAATTTTTCATTCCATATTACGCTCCCGATAAACATACAGAAGAAGGGTAAGTTTTTAATAATAAAATAAATATTTTTATTGCATATATATTATATTTAATTATATTCTTACAGTTTAGCAGTTAATTCTTTTAATACGGAAGCAGAAAAAGTGCAAATGGATTTAACTGCTGATAATGAAGAATCTCAACGATTACAAACACAAATTAAAAAATGGGATCGTAAAAAAAAGAAAATAATTACTATTAACAATGTACGTAATTTGAAATTATTAATAAATTTATAGAAAATAAAATACTTGAAAGAAAAATTTTTTTCAGGAACAAAATGTTCGTAAAATACGAACAGAGTCTGGAGTTTGGATACCTGCTAGTTATAAATCAAATCGTTATTCAACTTGGAAAGAAAAAAGCAAAGTTGATGTTACAAATGACGATAACAGTGAAGAAGAATCTTCACAAATACAGAAATGTATGTATAGATGTCATTTGGATTATTTAGTAGTATATATTAGCATATGTATGATATATATATATAAATATAAATTTTCTATATATTTTAGTGAAAACAATAGCTAATACACATTGGGCGCGACACAATCAAAAGATAAAAGAAAAAATTAAAAGAAATAATGAATTGAAGCGGCCAGAACAAATTCTAAAAGCACGTAAATTGCTTGATCAAAGACGTAAAAGAAACGGTCGAAAAAATAAAAGAAATCAGAGAAATAATAGAAAGAAATATTAGAAACAATTTAACATATTTATATATATGTTTCAAATATTGAGAATATGTTTTGCAATATAAGAAATAAAATTTCATTGTGTATATCTCTTTTTTCTTTATTTTTATATAATTTTAAAAAATATAAAAATAATATTTGCTTTTTAACAAAATTTTGAACTTCAGGAAAAAAAGATTAAATTATTCAAAATTAAAAATAATATTGTAATAACTTTTCATCATAAAATGATTATGAAGTATATACAATTTGAGATTTCTATTGCATCATTGTCAATTTTCTTGCGTAATTGTTGGTTTCTTCGTCGGAAGCTTATTACTTGGAATTAGAGGTAGTTTTCTGCGAAATGATGGAAGTCTCAGAAAATTATACAGACTAAGAAGAATGTCGTTTTATGGAAAAAATAATAAATCTTAAAATGGTATTCTTATATATATATATGTATATATAAAATTATATAATAATTATATATAAATAATTATTATATAAAATATGTATATATAAAATCTTATATATATATGTATATGTAAAATTATCTTATTTTATATTAAATAATTTATAAAAATTCTAAAATACAATTATTTTTGAAATGAAAGTTTTATTATTCATATAATTACTTAAATTGCTGTTTAATTTTTTAATTTTGTTATAAGATCAAATAAAATTTTGATAAAAATAAAATGACAATTTTATTATATTACAAATGAATTTAATTTAATCATAATTTAATCATAAATATAATATGATATATATAAGTTTGATAATTGGTACTTTTGCATTGTTTTGCAAATACTGAATTTCAAGTACTTTCAAGCAAAATATATGATATATCAATATTAAATATTATAATATGATACATATAATGATGATACATACATGAATTAAATACATAATTTTTATAAACGATGAAAAGTATATCCTATCTTTAAATTTATTTATTATTTTACATAATAAATTGATATTATTTTCCAATCTAACAATATTAGATGAAGTTAAAAAAAAAAAACATAATATTATATGAATTCATGAGTTAGATTCATAAGATGATAATTAGTTTGATAATTTTAATGAGAAATATGAATAATAATAATATGAATATTATTATGAATTAATATGAATAATAAAATATTAATATTAGAACATTATGAATCATATATTAATGTTAAGCATTTCTCATTATTTTTATAGATATTTTTTTATTTTATTTATTAAAAATATACAGAAATACATTATATATATTTTTAATTATTTTATATGTATATATTTTTTTTCAAGTTTGATTTAAGTTATGATTTAAGTAAGTATCATTAAAAATAATTATAATTGGTATGCTCAAAAAATATTGGATATATACATGTATTATATTAATTAATTTGTACTTATTTTTTATATTAAACCAATTAATATTTTTATTTGGTATTAGAAACAATATAAGTTTATTACATAATTTTTATTAATAATATTGTTATCTAAGTTATATTTTTTTATTAAATTTGTTAATCATTGATAAGATTGTAAGAATATAAATATAAACATACATAAAAACAAGATTATTTTAACAATTATTCACTGAAATATTGATCGATACAAATTATGCAGTTCAGATATTCATCTGAGCAGGACAAGATCGCAAATCATTTGCACAATCACTTTAAGAATTTACTCTAAATGTTTATTAATTTACTTCAAATTAGTTCTTTAAATTTCTTTTATATAATTTTAATTGAAATGAAAAAATATAATTTGAATAAAATAATGATATCAATTAAATGAGAGAAAATATAAAAAATGTAATACAAGTTTCAATAAAATCCTATGATTCTTATTTAATGATCGAATAAAAATCTTTAAAAATTTAATTTTTTAAAGAATTCAGCATCGAGAAATATTTCCTTTATTTGTTGATTATCAAAATATTAAGATTTTTCATCAAAAACTAACAAATTTTTATAGGAATATTAATAAATTTATTAGTTGCTTCTCAATCGAGAATTCGTGCCAAGATAGTCACAGCGGTTGTTTGACCACAATTTCGATGACATCAATTGTGAAAATAAGTGTATTCGTAATCAGATGGTCACGTCTACAATTTACCGTTTAGTACTCATACTATTACTGACTATTTCTTATCTACGTCATATGATTAAAAATAAAAGTTACTACTCAATTCATCTAATTACTCAATTCGTAATATATAATTATCCAGCCAATAATTTTATGGAAATAATGTCATATTTGATATTACGCATATTGTTACAAAAAGCAATTTTGCAATACATTTTGTATTCTTTGTCTGATGACAATTATGTTCAAAGGTCTTCAGATATTACACTAATAGATAAATACATTTCATATATCTTAACTTATTTTTTCGATAATTTCGATGATTCATTGTTATGTTGTCAGAATTTAACATTAGATATGTTAGAATATTTTAATATTAATAAGTAATGAAACTCATTCACTTATAGAAAGCGTATTCAGGAAATAAATGTAAATATTCCATGGCGGAAAAATATATCCTTTTTATATGTTATTTTTATGCATAATGTATGTCCAAAAAATCGATCGTCGATTCAATCGTAGAATTGTAATAATATTTGAAAATTGCATTCTTATTTGTAAACAACTCTCACTTACAATACAATATATTTATTGCATAATGTTTCTAATTTCGATTATTTTAAACTTCTATAATGTGATTGTACGAAAAAAAAATTATTATATGCTATTGAATGAATATTCGAATTTCAATTAAACAATGAATTCCATTTATTTGAATCATATAATTCATGAAATCATGTACAAATAATGTAATGTACAAATGATGTTACTTTATTGTTTATCGTAAATGACGATAAAAAGTGATAGATAATTATTTAGCTTATCAATTTGTTGCAGTAAATTACTTAATATTATCATTTTTTTTTTCTCAAATGATAATTTTCAGAATTTTGGAGAATTTTTTTGAAATATTTATATAATGTGTATATTTTTTTTAATATTATTTTGGCTATTTCTAATACCGGAAAATTAACCAACTATTTAAAATATGTAAAATTGACCAATTATTTTTTATAACAAATGAAAACTCAAGGAAATCGTGGAAAATTATTGTTGCATTTCGATATAATAAAAATATTGTCTACGAACGTTGCTTCAACTTGCTTCCAATTTCGTACCTGAGAATAGACAAAAAATTATTTCTTATATTGATTTTATATTTTTTGTGAGATAAACAATGAAATTTCTGAAATACAGAAAATGTATATTAATAATAAAAAATATTGTTAAAAATGAAAATATAAATTCCTTATCTTTGTAATATTTTATTCGATTATGTGTTATTCATAATTAAATATATACATATGTATATATGGATTTTAAATGCTATATATTTCTTGTGTGTATCCTCAGAATAACCTTGTGATATAGATTGTATTTCATAATCCGCAAATATTTTTTTTCATTTCAATAACGATATGTTCTGAATCTTTGTCAATTCTTAATTTTCTATATTCTAGTTTAATAAAATTTTAGAATAAAAATTTTCCTAAAACATAAAATATAAAAAAAATTAATGTAAGCATGCATTAATAAAATTTTAATGTGAAATAAAATCAATTATTTTACAGATATTAAAGCCATTTCTACTCGTATATATACATATAAGAGTAAATGGGATGTCAGTCAAACAATTGACAATATGATACGGTCATGAGTATGACCGTATGCTATGTATACGTGTCATTCATTTATAGGCTGCCACTCATGGTGTCCGCGTCTTGATTACGACTAAACCGTACACGGTACTCTGAAACTACGTTAGCGTTCTATGAATGAACGCACGTGCATTGTATTATTGGTCGAGGCACGTTCTTAGATACATAAAAAGCCAAAAAGAGACAACGAGATGTAACATATTGAAAAGAACAAACGGAAGAAACGGCAACTGAAAAAACATACTACCGGTTACTATTTGACCATACAAATCAATATTTATGAATATGAGTTAGATCTATACGAATTATTTTTATTTTTTCTGTTCCTTCTTATTCCTAAAAAGAAAAAGAAAAATAATGAAAAAATAAAAAATAAATAAATAAAAAAAAAATCTGATCTGAATGATCATTCATTGAACATTTTCTTAATTGATTAAATGAATTGTTTTGAAATCCTGCCATTAACAATCATCAAACTATTGTAAAATAAAATACAGAATAATTAAAGATGCGAAGGTTTAATTATATGGGTTTCTAAATGCTTATTGTGATAGACAATTCTATATTCAAACAAACAAAGATTATTAATGATTGAATATGGAAAATTATATAGTTGCATAATGATATTTTGATATAAATTAAATTTATAAAAATCGATATTTTGATATAAATTATAAATATTTGATGACAGATAATTAAATTTTTTAATATTTTTTTATAAATGTGACAATAAATGTGTTTTTGTGACAATAAAAATTATGATATATAAAATTATTAGTAATAATAAGTATAGAAATTTTTTGAATAATTATTTATTTTATAAAATATTTCAGAAAAAAAATATATATATATATATAATAATATGATTTCAAATAAATTGTTATTGTGACGTACATTTAAGTACTTTAAAATTTTGAAGTATCATGATTTTTTTATCAGATTTATTCTTATATTACATTGTGTACTTTTGTTAATAATTACATAAATTTATCTCAGTAATATAACGAGAGTCTCAATTATTAAATTTAAATTTAACAATGATCAAAAATTGAATTAATTTTGTTTTAATTTTAATTTATAACAATTATCAGTGCATTTATTATAATTTGAAAAAACAATTGCAAATATGAACTCAATACCTAATTTCATAAGAAACGATGTCTGTGGGAATGAATTGGAAATTTGATATTAACATATATAGTGTTGTAACTTTATGCTCATTATTCTGTTTATATACATTCATTGCAAAGAAATACATATATCGGTATATAATTTAAGATTTAATAGAAAAATTATATGAAAAATTTATTATAATTTTCAGTTTTATTTATTAAAATTGCATATCAAATAATATTTATATTAGAAAATAAAATATATAAATGTAGATCTAAATTCATATATGAAATTTTATTTGATAATATATTAGAAAATACTGAATCAAATGCTATAAAATGATATATGAGATAATTTATTGAATAAAAGCGAAGTCTAAGATATCTTTTTTACATGATTGCTTGAATATATAATAATGAGAAGTTAGTATTCATATGAATTAAATGATAAATCTTTTTTTTAAAATATACTTCGTTAAATAAACTTGCAATTTATTCGTTTTTTAGAAATATTGATATTTTTTTAATAAATTATTTAATGTATTAAAAATTTGATAATTTTCAAAGTATATGATAACTTCAAAGTATATGATAAAATATTCTTTATATATTCCTTTATTTTTGAAATAAAATTTGATAAAAATTATATCTATTAAATCACATTAAAACTTTAAATGAAAGATAGATAAATAACAATTATAATTTAAAATTGTATAAGAAAAATTTCATCTCAATTGTGTTTGTGTAAAATATCATAATACTTTAATCTTATCATGTGTCTATAGTTGAGTCTTTTATTGCGTTAGCAAACAGAGTATTCGAGTACACTTTGAAGGCCGTCCTTTACCAACGTCGCTACATTTCATTCATTTTTTTTTCTATGCTTACTACTATATTTCATTTATTCGTTGAATGTCTTCATAATATCTTTTGTATTTTCATCACGACTTCAATTTATATCTTCGTTCTACAATACCGTTAGCGAGAAACTTTAATAGTACATATATTAAATATATATAAAAAATAAATATATATAAAATATATAAAAACAAATATTTTTTTTTGTCAATTCCAATTCATAATTTATGCTTCATTATTTTTATAAACGATTTTACTTTATAATTTTTAGACATGTTTTTCATTGAAAACTAGATTCAATTCATCGATTTGCCTATTAATCTCTTGAAAATACGTAGGACCAAATTTGACTTTCTTCCCCAAATGTTTTTAGCAGTGAACATCTGTACCTATGTGTAGCCAACCCTCCAACCGAAAATAGAAACTATTATGATGAAGCATCTGTACTGAAAGTAGAACAAGGAGAAGAAATCTTAGTGAAATATGGGATCAAGCATATGTCGCTTATCAACACAAAAAGAACTTTAACAAATTATTCACAATATCCAGAAAAGTGTATATATAATATTGGACTTTTTAGAATTTTGAGCAAGTTATTTATAGTTATAGTTATTTATAAGAAAAGAAAATCATTATTTATAACTGTATGCAAAATATCTCGAATCAAATGCATCAGTATATATATATAGAGAGATATATATCTGCGAACAGGAAGATAAATGAAATATAAGATAAAATGATACATTTGCAAGTCACTTATATAGTCATAACATACGGAAATAATGCTCATGATAAGAACTAAGAAGAAAATGTGCGTCAAGGTTTGCGATACATATAAGTACGAAAAATGCTGGTATAATCGATACATAATCGACGCTAATAGAAAATGGAAAAAACGATGAATCACTTATAATTTGCAGTTATAAAAAAAATAATAAAATAAAAAAATTATTGAATTTCCTGAAAATATTGCAATTATCTAAACGAGTTAAGGAAAAATCATATTTGATATGCAAAACTTTATGTAATCAGTATCTAAATATGCATACGTTATTTAATTTATTTATAAAATTATAAAATTTATAAGATGAAAATGTTTCTTAAAATGTTTTGAAACTCGTTCGAATAGTTCGATAGTAGTTTTTCAAATAAGAGAATTTTTTGAATCTAATTGGTATTATAGTAGAAGGTCAAGGTTTCGGTGACATGACGCGATAGCATTTTGCAAGTTCAGCGAGCCATCGTAACATATGGTTCTTTTCATTTCTTACGTTATACTTTGAATTTAGTTTCTCCAGATAACTGAATGTTTATAAAACATATTCGGAAACAAAAATGTTCATATATAGATTGATCGTTTTCATGAATTGTAACTTTCATTATTTATGTTTTCGAACTTCTTTAATAAAAATGTAATAAAAATTAAAGTTATTATTATTTGAAATTCAATATTTCATTAGTGAAAGTTATTAGAAATAATTTTAAACTTAAACATAAAAAAATTAAGAATATAATACTTATAATATTGTTATTAAAATTTTATTGCTAATAAAATCTTTAAATCAAAAGATTGTAAATCTTTTTATATTTTACAAATTTGTTTGTTTTTTTATATTATATATATATATATATGTATATATATATATATATATATATATAACATTTTTTATATTTGAAAAAAGTTTATATAGTATGCATAAAAATTTGCGCGATATTGATAAATGTAATGATAGCACGCGAACTTGAGATCATGAGCACCGCTGTTGAAAAGTGATTGTGTATCACATTGGGTGTGGGTACGTACCGTATGCCGTATGGTCACTATACGTTATACGCTGGTCGGATGAATGTCGTCGACATCGTGAGATGCTAGAGTAAGAAAAGTTCTTTGTTGGTCTCTGTTTTGTAACATGGCAGAGTTACCATCTGAATATCCTATTCCCAATAATTTCCAATATACAAGCACATCATACAAGCAGTGGATCAAGAAACGTTTCATCCAATCTAATCAATAAAGAAATTAATTAATTATAACAAAAAGCTGAATGATTTTTTTTAAAGTTATAATTATCAAAATTAATTTTTTTATATAAATATATTTTTTAAAATTTTCTTGATTGTTAATACATCGTATAAATCAAAAATTAACATGGCGAATCTGAAGAACATACTAAACTGCAAAACATAGTAGTAGCATGGCTATTTTGTTTACATTAGGAGATCGCATAAAACGTCCTTTCGTGTTACTTAACGATTATTCCGCTTCTAGTGACTAATTCTTCAGGGAAGACCCGCAGGTGCAAATGTACTGAGCTTCAGTAGCACGCTTAACTATTTTCTTGTTTATTTGATTGACTGTTTTATGGAATAGACATTTCATAAAATAATCATTGTTTTAAATAGATTTTAGATTTTGTAATTAAGATTCAAATTGTGAATGATAATAACGCGAAAAAGTAAAGAAATATTTGTAAAAATAATTACATGATAAAATTTTCTTGCAATGTTTATAGATTCAATATCAATATCTCACACAAGATTATTGTCAATACTAACAATAATTAATAATTTTCGTTTTTCGTAGAATATTCTTCTTTTTTGAACATATAAAAATCATGAATTTCGTTCTCTTCTTGTAATAGTTTCATATTTATTTTATATTATAAATATTACATATTTAAAATACATATAAATGTTACAATAAATTTAGAAATTCATTTTTTTATATTAAAATAAACAAGAAAAATATCTATGTTACTATTTGTGTTGCGATAGCTAATAAAAATAAATATGATTTATTACTTAATTATAAATTATAAATAAATAATGGAAAATTGAATGAATGATATTTAATGAAAAGTGAAATCACCATATATAATATATATAGAATAATTTGACGATTGTCAAACAATCGATGATAGGTCTATGTATTCTCTTCACTTTTATGTACGATTAGAAAGCGTATAAAATTACAGGAAGCATTAACTATTCACTTTTACTATAAAGATTCGCAGATATTCGCTTCATTGCAAAGATTGTTGTAAATATTATAAATATTTTACACTTGTAATAAAAAATTTATATCATTTATGATGTTTACGATTGTATGAACAAGTTTATAATGTTTCAAAATTAAAAATTATATACATTGATTTTTTGTTAAAAAAGTTTTCAAAAAAAAAATAACTATTTTATTTAAAATAAATATATACAAACAATATGAAATTATCAAATATTATTTACTTTGTTCATATGATATTATTTACATTTAACACGAATATGTTCTATAAACAACAAAAATTAATAAACAAATAATAATAATTAAATAATTATTTCCTATATACATACATACATACATATATATATATATATATATATTTAGTTTTCATACCTTAGTTATTGTTCGCGTAAAAAACAATCTATAAGTAACTCAAACAAAAGATTTAACAATTGTTTACGTTTATACTATATAGATACATCTTGAGCATAAATTCCTAATGATTTCAATGCCGGAAGCTGCACTTACGGTTGTACGACCTTTCCTATTCTAGCTGTCAAGTAACCATTGCCAACTTAAATCTAGTTGTTCATTAAATCCTATGTGAAATACAATTAATATTAATTTATTATATATTAATAAAATTTATTTCGAATTATTAGGAAGATAGATAATTAGATAACTAGTTTTTGATAAAGATACAAAATAATTTTATATAATATACAAATATGTTTATTGCCATACCAATTTGCACTTGTCTATTATCTTAATTTCTTTTTTTACTGATTACACATCATATTATTATCATAACTACAAGTGTGTGATGTAAATAGAAACATACTGATATCATCAGTCTGACTGTATCAAAATATGTATACTTATCTAGTATATATTCATCATACTTGCATATGTATATGACACGTGCGTTCAGAGATGAATAGTTCCGGAACTTCAAAACTTTTTGATTAATTTATATTTATTCAAAACTTAAAACGATTACGATTTTAGTTTAAAATTTGAAATATTTATAATTAATTCATATCTGAAAAAATTTTTATTTTATTTTCTACAATAACTTTTATATAGTAACAAATTAATTTTTTAATTTGTATTAATTTGTATAATTTATATAGTAACAAATTAATTTAATAAAATTTTTGAAGAAATATTAATATTAAAATCATTAAGTTCAATTAGAACATAATAATTTTAGATCAAATTAAATTTTGAATATATCATTATTAATTTATAATCAAATTTTTTTACATTTGTTATTAAGTACATGGTTCTCTTGTAACATAAGACGTTACTGTTTAATAGCTGTTCGAACTTTATGTTTCTTCTGTTGGCAGTAATGTGCAGAGTAGTATTCAGTGCGTCGTGCGAAAAGTAGTCGAGCTTGGCGAGGTCGCCTTTTGCGTTGGCACGGAGATTCGGTTCGTGCATGTTTTTAGTTACAATTTCGAATCGAAAAAACCGCGTACATTTTTATCTGTATGCTCGTTATAATTCGGTGGAATAAGAACGAAAGTGATGAAGTGTAATTCTGTACTTGAACATATAGGGCGTAGCCAGGCATTGTGCAAAATCGGCTGAAAACGAATGACGATAAGGCGGTGCGTGACAGTCTGAGTCTGCCATTGGAAAGGATATCTTGTTGTCTTTTTCGCACCTAGTGGTATTTTGTGTACTCGCGGGGTTCGCTGCATCATCATCATCCTTTCTCTCTCTCTCTCTCTCTCTCTCTCTCTCTCTCTCTCTCTCTCCTACCTTTTTCTCTACTAGCTTCTTGTACCGTATATTGTTCAATCGTACTCGTATACGTGCTAACAGACAAAATTGAAGACGTCCACGCATGGTGCAGATTCAATTGCAACAGAATTCCGAATTTAAGTACAAAGTAAGTTATATTGACATTCTCTATTTATTTTTCGTTTCGATATTTTCAATATAAAGAAGATTTATTATATTTGATTGATTGAATCGGATAGAAGTACAAATAAAAATATAATATTTATGGGGTGTGAATTCATTGACTGTCAGTGAACAAATAATGTTTAGTTTCTATACTTCTGGCACACCCATCGCTGCGTTACTGCGTTGGCCAGCGTGTGAATATGAACCAAACGGAAGGACGAGTCCCTGAGTAAAAGAGGGAGAGTAAAAAGCCGGCATACCGCAACTTAGACTTCGTTCCATTTTCCTCCTTATTGAATTATTTCTCTCCCAGAGATTTCACTCCATTGCTCTGTTGATTAATCTTGCGGGAAAGGAACACGGTTTTATATGATTTCAATTATGATAATGCAAAATTCTCGCATAGAAAATGATTTTTAAATTTATCCTCTTTTTATTTCTTTTTTTTATTAAAAAAAATATTTTCGTTTCTTCAAAATCAGAAAAAAAAGAAAAAAAATATATAATAAAAAAATTCATAGAAATAATATATACATGAAAATGTGTCGTGGAGTAGAAAACAAAATTCTGACATACGCTTTGTTCTAACTGGTATTCGACTTTCTCGTACCTAGCACGAGTTTCACGCTCCTGTCACGGTGCCGCCTTGCGTGGTTAATCATTGTTGTGCATTTCTAAAAGATGATTCTTCTTTTTTTTTTTAAGAAATTTCAAATTTATTTTTTTTTTATGAAATCATCGGAAATATATGTTTATCATTCGAATTTCGCCATAAGATATAATTAGATTGTTTCGATAATTTATAAGTATGATTTGAATAAATTTGATTTAAACTTTTAAATTTTGATTTATAACTGAGATAATAAATAAGTCGCGATTTTTTAAATATCAAGATAAATACATTATATATATATATATATATATATATATATATATATATATGCATTTGAGTTATACAATTTTATCATTATGATTAAAGTTTTAACAGATAATTAAATATAAAATACAATCGTAAGATAATTATAAATTGGTACGATTGATATTTTATGGAAGCATTTATGTTTTTTTATTTATTTTTTTTTCCTTTATTGCTTGTTTATTTTATATATATATATAATAAGTTCTTTCATTATTATGTATATGTATATAAGTATTTATGTACATGATATTTGATACATTATTCATTATTCATCCATTTAAAGCTCTAAGATATGAATTTCTTTATCATAATTCGTATGATATTGATGGATATTGTAAAATTCAATTTTAAATTCGTCTTAACAATATGATCTTATAATCACACATCTATACGAGAATGTTTTGCATATTAACATGATTTTGATTTATTATCATTAAATAATACAACTAAAAAATAATATGTAATTTTTGATCATGATTTATTTGCAAATCAAAAAAAATTTATGCTTTATTTAAATTATGCATAAGTTATAATATAGTATTATATAGTTTTAATATAATATTTAATATATACATTTTCTTTTCAACAATTCGCTTGAACAATTAGATCGTATCATTTTTTTGTCGTAGGTGGATGATCAACATGAGCAGCAGATGACTGTTAGCCGAGCTGATGCTCGTTCAATTTTAATATGAGTGAAGTAGTGGCTGTAACACCTAGTGGTGGATCAACACGCCAGGAAAGCGTGGTACACATCAAAAGACATAAATTAACAAACTGTAATGTTCCTCTCGTACACGGACGTTCAAATCCACCGATTAACAGCCGTAATAGGCTGACCACGCATCAACGAAATCACAGTTTGGATTTTAGGTATGTAAATGAAGCTATCGTGTAAATGCTTCCGGAGAATATTTATAGTTAGTGATAATATGATTTTTTAGATTCTATCTGCAATATAGTTCATTCTCGAATTATTTATAAAAATGTTTGAAATGTATATATATATATATATATATATATATATATATAGGAAAATAAAAAATAAAGCAAATCTAAATTTCGAATTATTAATCTCTTAAAAAAAATAGAATTATGATATATAATATCAATAAGATAAATATTAATTAAAATTAGAGAAATTAATTTTTATATAAATAAATAATTTATTTTAAAAAAAATTTTCACATTAATGTTAAATTTTGCATTTGAATTATTTTTATAACATCTTATATATTGTACTTTGTGTTATGATGTGACGAATGCAAAAAGCAATTTATATCGCTATAAATTTTAATCGGTTTAAGTTATAAAATTAGATCGGCCGATAGTTATTCAAAATTTATTTCTTGGTATTGCGTGTTTGCAGATCAATGGGTATTTTGTTACCGCCAGTCCCACAGGCAAGCGCGACCACGCTGACGCACCATCACAGAAATCGAAGTCTTGATTCCGCACTTCAACGTATTCCGGAAGTGGATGTGACACCAAGTCCAGAATGCGAGACGACACCTGCTCCGGTAACTAAAGTGGTCGTAGTACCGGCGTGCAAAGCGCGCAGCCGGGAACGCGAAGATCTTGCCAGTCTCGGGTCCGACGACTCGGGTATACTTTGCGGTTCCGATAGCGGTTCTAGCGACGCAACAAACGTTGCCACTAGAGAATCGAGCGTTGATCATCTGCATAGCCGCGAAAGTCTCGACTCCTCGTTATCCCAACCAGGTGACATGGATAGCGTGGATACAGTGGATGGCGAAGAAACTAGTGTTTTGGATTCAGTGACGGTGTCGGTGCAAGTGTCACCTGTGGAACTGGTACACTTGAGTGAACCTTCGTCGAAAAAGGGTGGTGATAGTAGTGAGCCACATAAACACGAAAACAGTGGTAATCACGATTCGCAAGAAACGTGCTCCAATAACGTCTGTACAGTCAACGAATTCGAGAGCCATGAGTATACGCAGGACGAACAACGATGCACCGATGTGGGCGTAACAGTTGGTACGCGAGATTTCCAAAATTCCATGGAAGTCTTGCCAGTGAACGATAAACAGAGTGAACTGGCCGGCGCGGCTATGACTTTGTGTTGCGGGACTGCAGTGCAATCCGAAACTAATGAGGCAGCTGTAAAAAAGCAAACTGGTGTTGTTTGCCGAAGGCAAGAGACGGTACAACCAAAACCATCTGAAGGATGTTTGCTTAGATTGTTTGAAAGCCAGATTTTTGATATGTCTATGGCAATTTCTTATCTTTTTAATTCTAAAGAGCCTGGCGTTCAAAGCTATCTTGGTAAGCATTTATATTAGTTTTATATATATATATATATTTAATATAATTTTAAATATGATTTACATTTATTAATCATTTTGAAGTATTAAGTTATTCAATATTAAGTTAGATTTGCTCTAAATAAATATCTCATAAATAAAATGTATATAATATTAAAAAATATTTTGAAAGTAGTTTCAAAAATGCATTATAAAGTGCATGTAAAATTTTCTAGGAAACAAGATGTTTAGTTTCCCAGATAATGATGTGGACTTTTATTTACCACAACTAGTTGTGATGTATATACAACTTCATGATGTTACAGAAGTTCTTTACCCATATCTTGTTCATAGGTAAGTAAGAAAAAGGTAAAGGTACTTGAATAAAATAAATTTTATAAATAATTAAAATATAATTATTTGTTCATAAGGTGTAGGCAGTCGGCTGATTTTTCATTAAAATGTGCCTGGCTATTAGATGCATATAGTTCAGATGCTCATTTGCCATCAAAAAAAAAGTCTCATGGGACCAAATTAAAAAATCTTATTCTCTCAGATGAACTCAGGTAAAAAACATATATAACTTGGAGAAAAAACATTATAAACAAATTGTTTTTATATTTCTTTTTTTTTATGCAAACATTAGGCCAAAAGGAAATGAGAATAAAAAACGTGTAACTGGATTACAAACTCCCGCACCGCTATCATTAACTCCGATGCAAAATATTACATCTCCTAATAAAAAGACACACCAAAGATCTCAATCTGATGCCAGTGGATTATTTCAAACTCTACGTCGTAGCCATTCCGGTGAATTATGCAAAATTGATTTGTTATTTTATTATAAAATAATAAGAGTAGAAATTTATATATGTATTCGCACATATACAAATTATAATTATCATCTTTTACAATTTATTTTAAGGTACAATAAATAAAGTAAGTCTTGGGGACCTGAGCTCTGGTCGAGCATTTGATAATGGTTGTACCTGTTTTTATTCCTGCCAAGGTGTGGTAAATGATTTACGAGGACAAAAAACCGACTGCTTTTGCAATGTAATTTAACAATTTTATTTAAATATGTAAATTTTATTATCTTATTCATTTCATTATCTTATGTTAATTTATACACAATTTCATATTTATAGGCGCCACGTCTTGCTCCAGAACTTGAATTTATACAAGCATTAATATCAATTGGTAAATTACTTGGAACTATTCCAACAAAAGAAAGTAAAACTGTTCAATTAATAGCGGAACTTAATACTCTCAATTTGAATCTCCCTGCAAGGGTGTGGCTTCCTTTGCACAGTTCAATACCACATCATATCGTACGAGTGCCACCACAATATGCTGCTGTCCTTAATAGCAAGGATAAGGTGAAAAATATAAAACATCTAATAATTTGTTATAACAAAAATAATTTCTTTTCGAGAATATATATTAATATATCTTAACACATGTAGGCACCATACATAATTTATGTTGAAGTGTTAGAAGTAGAAGATATTTATACGTCACCTGTACCGACAAAAATAGTGGGATGTTCATTGAGGCATACTAAATCTGAAGAAAATTTAACTGGAGGTGAACAATCTAATGTAATGGGTTCATCAAACATATCCGCTTCAGAAACGCAACAGAATATGCTGCCGATTAGACAAACTCCAATTAAAAATATTTCTCCATATTCGGTTAGAAATACAGAAGTCGCATTTAATTTTCCCGATGATGATCCTAGTGATTGTTGGAGTCAAGAAGATGATGAAATCACACAACAGGTATTTGTTTATATGATGATTTCTTTTATTTCTTTTTTAGTTTTGAAAATATAAATTATTAATTTTTTTTTCTATGCAGTATTTACAATTACGTAAGCCAAAAGATAGAGATACAATATCTCAATTAAGTCAAGAATCATCAGATAGTAAAGAACCAATATTTGTACCTGGTGATATAAAGAGGCGATTAAGTGAAATGGCTGCTGCACCTAGTGCAACGTTTAATCATGATCCAGAAGATCCATCAGCAGCTGTTCTCAAGGAACCATGGGAATTAAAACAACGTCGTATAAGGTCATCCAGTCCATATGGTCATTTGGCATCTTGGAGACTTCTTGCTGTTATTGTAAAATGTGGTGATGATCTTCGACAAGAACTTCTTGCTTCACAATTACTTTCAATGTTACAAAAAATATGGCAAGATGAACATGTACCTCTCTGGGTGCGGCCATATAAGTATGAAACATTTCATTATTATATATGTTTTAATATTTTATTATAAATATAATTTATTAAATATGAAATATTATTTTACAGAATTTTATGCTTATCGAATGATAGTGGGTTAATAGAGCCAATTTTAAATACTGTATCACTTCATCAAGTAAAAAAACAGTGCCAATTAACGCTTTATCAATATTTTGAAAGAGAATTTGGCCCATCTATATCAGAAGCATTTATTATTGCGCAAAGAAACTTTATTCAAAGTTGTGCGGCTTATTGTCTTGTCTGTTATCTTATTCAAGTTAAAGATCGTCATAACGGAAATATTTTACTTCATAGTGATGGTCATTTAATACACATAGATTTTGGATTTATTCTTTCAACTTCGCCAAGAAACTTAGGATTTGAGACTAGTCCCTTTAAATTAACTCCAGAATTTGTGGAGGTAATGGGTGGAAGTCAATCTAAACAATTTCAAGAATTCAAAACTTTAATTCTCCAAGGATTAATTGCAGCACGGAAACATATGGAAAAAATTGTCAATTTAGTGGAAATAATGTTATCAGGTAAAAATTTCCTAATTCCTATTATGAAAATTTTATATTAACTTTTAAAAATTTATTTAAAAATTGTTATCTTTTACTGTTATATAGGATCACAACTTCCGTGTTTCCGTAGTGGTGGAGCAGCAACAGTTCAAGGGTTGAAAAATAGATTCCATCTTACATTAACAGAAGATCAATTACGTCGACATGTGGAAGATTTAGTTGAAGCTAGTATTCATTCATGGTCTACTAAATTATATGACCGGTATCAATATTTCGCAAATGGCACCCTTTAATAATAATATCAATTTCTATCTATATGGCGAAGATAATGATTTTTATAAGAAAGTGAAAAAACTTAAGTTGATAATATGGTACTTCTTCCAGAATTTCTAAACTTTATAGCATTCCGTATGCACAAATTATCTTTGAATCTGATTATTTGATCACATACAAGTATGATCGATACATAGGAAATGCTAAAAAATAGATTTATTCCAAGTAGTATAAGCTGATTTCAGTAGATTAATTTTATTTGTTCCTGAATTATTCCTTAGTTTCTTAAAATATTATAACAATTATCTTTCAAAACTTGTACAAATATCATATTTGTTAATAAGTAAGAATGATTTGTGAAAAACATTGTTTATAAAAATTTTATGCTTCTTATTTGTAAAAAATGATAAATGAAACAGGGAATAATTTATGAAATTTTAATTGTTACATTAAGTAATATTAAATATATGTAATTGATTTTATTTTATATGCTAAAATGACTATGTATGCCTTATTTGGCATTTACAAGTTAATTATCGTCGGTGCAGATTTTGTGACATTGACTGAATGTTGGACTGCTAGATCGTTATAGCCTATAACAGCGTAATTTGTTAAAGGTGCCTTATTTGTAGAAAATGACGGAACGATCAAATCTGAACACAGTGAAGTGACTACGTGTGTTGATCTACTAACAAAACTGATCTATTAAAAAAGGACAATCTATAATTTGTACATAAATACATTGCGTAAACTTCTGTCGAATTTCTTTCATAATTAATTTTTGCAATAAGTAATCCCACCATAATGATGTGAAGAAATAATATGGTGTTTAAGATTCATACGAATCTTTGAATAAAAGAAGCGTGTATACAAGCCCAGATATTAGCAGGAGATGAATACTCAAAATATTTCCTACTTTATAAAATACTATTACTATAAATACATTTAATTGTAATGATATGCTAAGAATAACTACATAGTGAAATTTAAGGATCACATTTGAAAGTTTTTACATGTTCTTATTACACACATACATTGATAGTGACAATGCGAAATACTTAGTTGTGTGAAGATAGTTATTTAATAGTATTTCTGCGTTACATATGTTCATTTAAGTAAGTAAATTATAAAGTAAAGAAATATTGTACATATATAAAGTAACAGATTTTATCACTTATCAGTTAAAATTAATTGAGAATGAATGTTTGAAGTAAAATCAAAGTCATAGCGAGCCAGCCCATGTATGAAATTTGGGCTCTCTGACTTCCAAGTGTCTTAACTCTCTTTTTTCTGTCATAACCGTCTCACGATAGGAAGGCGGATCAGAGATTAAGAATAATTGATATTGCATAATGCTCAATATATTTTGCATTTGAATATTGTTAATATCATTACGCTAATTTTTGTTAAGTATTTAGTTTCTGCTATTTCCTAATTATGAAAGTTATAAAAAATTTTTCTTGATTTCATAGAATAAATAATAAATTCTACAGTTTTTATATAATTGAAAATATTGATATCTCTGATTTGCCTTATTTTTTCGCTATCAATTATGAGCTACTGATAATATCAATTATTAAATAAATATGAAATCTAATCAAATATATTGTTGATTGATATACCCAAATACATATTTTAGATTAAGTAAAAAATTTTAAATAATATATATGAAAATAAGATCGAAGAAATACAAATTGATTCAAAGATATTCAAACTTTTATTAATTGTACATTACTACACACTGTTTTTAGCTATCAACGTTAACTAAATAATTAATTCTATAAATACATAGATATTAAAAGATATCAGTCATAAGAAATTCGGGAAGTACAATGGATGTACTTAATTGATGTATGACAATGAAAGCATAAGTATCATAAATATCACAATGAGTTAAGATTACTAGACTGCGGATGTTTATGCTGGTATAATATATCAAAATATACATATACATATATGCAAAATACAGGGTGAGAGATGCGATTAAAATTATAACAAAGTAATAATATATATATATACAGTTAAATATGCATTGAATATGCAAAAAATATGCATATAAAATGCAAAATAAATATATTTTTTAAATCCTCTAATAAAACAACAAATTTTTGTTTATTCTATTTGTTATCCTATTATTCTATTTATTTCTTATAAAGATATACGTTTATATAAACATTTGCAGTCTAATAATCAGAGATTTTAGATTGTTTTATATTCTAGAAAGCTGTTGTAATAAATTAGAAGGTAAAATTGCTTCTAATTTGTCTAAAATGTAATAAAATGGATGAGAAAACCAGGCAAGCATCGATCGTGCAACTACACCCATAGTATCAGGATATTGATGCGTTAAGAGAGCTAAGAGTGCTGTAAAGGAGCATAAACCCGCTGTAAACAAAATAAAAAACGGTAACTCCTTTTTAGGGTAAACACTAACATCGTGAAATGATGGTAGCAATTCACGATCTGCACATTCTGTGCAAGTTGGATATGGATAAAACAAATGTCCTCGTTCTAAAGGATAAGGCAACATTCTAAAAGTACCTTCCCATGTACAATGTAATAAATTAAGAGCACCCTCCATTTGCTTCCAATGAGCAAGATGAAAAAATGCATATGCAATTGCTTCTGAATCTCCTCTTTTTAATACATGTTCTGGGGGTAAAATTAATGGTTTCATTTCTAATAAATATTTAGGTACATGAGGATTAAATTCAACTGCCCTATGAATAGCTTCAACTGCAATCATTTCTGGAGTAGTTAAACCTCTTTTGCTAGCAATATCTGTTGAAAATTTATCAGCAACTACTCGCGCTTTTAATAATGCAGCTGTATAACAAATAGTTGCAGATTTTGGTAAACTAATATCATCATATTTTGCTAATACTGCTTGAACATCTGCATATGCTTGCATTTCTAATAAAGCTTCAATTAAATTTTCATGAATGTTTAGCACATTCATAATTGGTGGAACTTCCTTTGTCAAATCTCTAAACATTTTTACTGCTTCTTTTAATTTTCCCAATTTTCTTGCACACATAGCTAATCTTCGTTTAACATATATTAATACATTTGTATCTCTTCTATGTATTGCCTCTGCAATGGCTCCTTGATGTTGAGTACTTTGAGATTTTCTATAATTATTTTCTGCTACTTTTAAGGCTTGTTTTAAAATTTTTTCTGCTTCTACAATAGTGGTAGCTTCTTCTTCGGCAAGTAAAATATATGCAGGTGCACAATCAGGATTACGTTCAAGAGCACTATGTGCAGCTTTTATTCGAACTACTGGATTACGTTCTCTCCATGCAGTTTGCATGATTTCATATTCAGCTTTACCTATTAAAAGTAAACTATTAATATTTAATTTTTCAAAACTTCTTAATATTTTTTATATAAGATTTACCTGTGTCACCTTCACAGGTAAAAAATGTTTGGTGATCTTGAGCAGATAAGTTCATATCATAATATGTTAATGGCTCTTTATTTGTAGCCCAATAAAATCTTTGATATTCTGCCCCTCTAAATAAATTTATTGGATTCCGCCAAACTTTACATTCTGGAACATTTTGTTGATTTGAATTTGAACCATTTAAACTTGAATTATTTCCATCTGATCCACTGTCACCTCCACCAATCCATGGTGAAATATGATTTAAAGATACTTGTTCAATAAAAGATGTACCATATTTTCTAAAATACCACCATTCAAAAATTAGAATTAATCCAGAAATTAAGGATGACGTTCCAGTGAGTGCAACATAAAATTTTGGGGTTAAGGTGCTCAAAAACATTGTTGAATCCCACATGCTTGTGAATAATAGGGCCATTTATAATATAACACCAAATATATTATTTTTGGATTGTTCCTAATTGCACTATTATAATACTGCTGTATGAACAATTTTAATTAATAAACATTGTATCACCGTTAACTTTTTAACTACATTCTTTTTACTATATTCATATATTACCACAAATTACAGAAAATATTATTTCCTTTATTTTATTTTAATTAATAAGATTAAAAGAAAATAATCTTAACGTTTACACATGTTTTTTCTAAATTTAAATATATTTTCATTGTAACGTTAAATGTAGTTTAGCATTTATTTTGCCTGAAGTTGCTGAAAACAGAATCCTATATTGCAACGAGATTCTTCGAGATTTCCAGCGCTTATTATATGTTGCGATTCTTTCTCAAAATTCTTTAAATTTTATATTTTTTGAAAACGAATAAATAAAATACAAGCAATATTTTATTAAACTAAATAATTTATTATTATTTTATTTTTACTCGATAAGTTATCGAATAATAATAAAGCTATCGAATAATAATTTATTAAAATGAACATTAAAAAATATATGTTACATATATATATATATATATTATTTGAATGTTCATTATTGTATATATATATATACAAATATATAATATTTTATATACTATAATAGATGAGAGATAATTGTGCAGAATAGATAGAATGCAAAACAAATCTATTATTTTATCTATATATGAGACTTTGTGCTCATATTGTGAGCGCAAAAAATTAGAATATTTGTTATGCCCTTTAAAACGGTAGTAATTATATTTAATTCAATCACAAAAATTAATTAACTTAACAAAGATTTTAGAAATAATTTTTTTTTAAATATTTTTTTATATTTATTACATTATATATATTAATTGCATTTATAGATCTTTTGATTAATATGAATAGGAGATGGATGTACGCATTAAATTATTCATGAATTAAAAATTTCTCATATTTTTTATTATAACACAATGAAAACAATATCGAATTATCAAATTTTTTTTATGAAAATGGATTTAAATACAGAATTATTAAGATGAAATTTATTTATATGTATTATTAAAATGCAATTGTAAATGTTAATGCAATATAAATAAAATATCGACGATGTCATAAAAAAAAATGATAAAATTAATCAGTTATCGAAGCTGTCTCTTAAGTATATAAATTTTGCAAAATAAATATAGCAAAGAAAAAAAATAATGAGAGAAGGATAGAGATAGTTTAAAAATTATGACATCAGCGCCATCTCCTGAATGGTGCAAATGAAACATATAAAGAAAGGATAACAAATAAAAAGAAAAAGACAGAGATAAGATAGGAATTGACAGGTAACGTTATCTCTTTAAGTAAAATATTTCTTCAAAAGTAAGATAAGATAGAGTAAGAATTCAAAGTGAACGCCATCTGTTGAGCTTCAAATTTTTTCTGTAAGTAATCTTTTCTGAAAATAATCAAGAGATGGCGCTATTAGTCCATTCCTACGTTATCTCGGTCCTTCTCTTTTTTTTTTACTATCTTTTCTTTATATGTTTCATTTGCGTCACTCAGGAGATGGCGCTGATGTCATAATTTTTAGACTATCTCTATCCTTCTCTTATTATTTTTTTCCTTGTCTATTTACTTAGCACGACACAAACGTACGCGTAAACATACAGGATATCAATTGAACGCTTTTATCATTTCTATTTCAAAATTACAATATGTTTAAATCTTTAATGCCAAAAATTTAGATATTTTCAAATGATATATAATATATACCTTTAAGATGACTATGCCAATGTAATTGATCAATAATTCTATTTATATAATTTTTTTATTTTTATTGTTAATTTACGTCTAACAATTTACTGCTATTTAATATGATTTATCATTTTAAAATATAATTCTTTGATTTATATATTAAAATTTTTTATCTATCATTACATTCATTTTGAAGATATTAGTTAAATACATTATTATTAAGAAATAAATTATAAATATAATTATAATATTATAAAATAATTTGAAATAGATAATAATAATTTGGAATTGATATTAATAATTAATATTACAATTATTAAATATAATAATATTAATATTATTTATAGAATTATATAGAAAAAATTAATAATAAATAATAAAATTATTTATAGAATTAATATTATATAATTTAAAATTTTAATTTTTATTAAAAATTGTTATAATTCAAGTTTTATAATTCGATTTCTTTCTTGCATGTATATTTAAAAATCTCTTATATCAAAAAACATATAATAATATATTGATATTTTTATACTTAATCTATGTTTGCGTAGCAATTTTTTATTCATTTATAATACTAATGAAATTGATTTGTAAATATGAAAATATTACAATTAATAATTTCAATTTATAAATTTTTATCTTATTTAATTAATTTATTTAATGCATAATAGCAATCAATGTATTTTAATTTATTTAAAATCTATTCTATAATTCTTTGCGCTATTTATTTTGTGGTACCATCTATTTAAAAAAAAATTTAATTATATGATAGTTTAATTGATTAAGTGAAAATTTATATTTACTAGATGGTATTAGGATATATAAATTTTGATATAAAATTATAATTCGAATAATTAATGTAACATATTTTCAATTATATTATATATTAAATATATTATAAAAATATTCATATACTTGGAATATTATTTGATAGTTATTTAAACAATAGAAACTTAACTAAAATTAATTCAATATAATTAGTTCAATAATTAAAATTTCATTCATTCCTTCATATATAAATCAAATTCTATTATATATAAAATTTCACATATTATGTTATTATGTTATTATTATTTTTAATTTTTTAATTTTTTTTATTAAATATATTCTCTTATGTTATTTTTTGCAATAAATTTTCTTTTATAAATTGTTTTAAAATACTACTAATAAAATAAATAATAAATTACATATAATGTATTTAAATGTACATGTGTATATCATTTCATTACAATAAAAGAAAGCTTTCTGAAGCATCTGAAAGTAACAACTAACAGAGAAAGAAGTGAATAGAAGTTTACGACAGTTTTGATTGATCGCTCATCCAAGTGCTATTTATGACACTCATATGATACTTCATATGACATTTGCATGAAAATAATACGTGTACTTACGAATAATGCGTAGAACACGTTCATTAAAAGTTTGTTACCTTGTTATTGCGACGAAAACTGTCACCTCATATGCTTGAAATGCGATTCTAGAGAAATATATGTGAATGTATCTAGATACGGGTAAACACGTTTATATACAAAGAGATACAGATCGCGCATTGCATGATTCAAAGCCTCATCTTTAATTATAAGAAATGGCGATTCTTTATATTAAATTATAGTATATAATATAAATTGTATTTTTATTTTTAAAAACAAAAACAAATATATTGAACTGAATTTATTACTTAAAAAATAACATACTTTAAATATACCCAATCATATCTTAAAATTAATAAATTATGTTTAAATATTTTTTGTGAATGTGTCATTTTATTATTTCTTTTTATATAAATATATTTTTTTTATTGTTCATAAAAGATCATTTATAGATTTTGATTATACGTATATATCATTCGTACATCAAGAAATTCCTATAATCATATAAAGGTACAAATATAACGTGCGATTAGTAAATGCAGGTATAACAGATATGTCTAACACGTACGAATAGGCATACGTACATTACGTACACAAGCAGGTTAAAACATGAACAGAAACCTGCACGGAGAACACGATTATATGCTTATGACAGACAATTAGATGCTACATAGCGACGCGGGCAATATCGATTTGCATATCTACGCGAACACGTGCGTTTACCAATGGTGGGAACAAAGTATGCTCGTGATTCTCCCGGAATACGAATGAAGCATAATCGAAAGAAAAAATGCGATTCATTTCGAAAGTAAATCGATGAACGAATTAATAATTTTAAATTAAAATAAAACCAATAAATCTCGTGCAAATATAGAGAAATAAAATAATATATATATATACACCTATTGAATAAGAAATAAGTTTCTCAACTGTAAATTCGGGATAATCAAATGAATTCTTGATCAATGAATTCTAAAATTATAATTTCGAAAAAAAAAATCCAAGAATAAATATCCTTTTATAAATAAATAAATTTTTTGTCTCAATTGTCATTTAATGTTAAAGTATATGAATTACATTCGTCACAGGAAACGGATAAATAATAAAAATTCGATCACTATATTGGTTAATCCAAATAAATTTATTAAATGTAAATAATTCGTAAACACATTGATATTAACTATATATAATTTCATTACATATATCGAAACGACACACATAGATGGAAAGCACTACGATATCGATTCGAAATGATCGACGATATTTATTCTCGAATTCCGTACGCGTCAATTTAGCAGCTTTTTCGTACGAGAGCGTGTCGACGTTGCGAGGTTAGTGGAACGGCGACGGTATAAATCGGGCGCTCGTTAAAACGTGACTTACGGCACTTTCACGACCGAAGTTACTAGCGTGCTTGCAGCATTCTCACTATCCCCACTTCTTTTGATTCACACTCTATCCACTAACTCCTCGTTCCCTCTGCTGACAGCTTCTCATAGCTCGGTTTTCTTTGGCGCGTTAGCGATAAAGTCGCGAGAGCGATGCAAGTGCTAGCGACACCTTGTTAGAAGAATCTTACTGTATAAATTCCATTTTCTTTCTTTTTATATACTATTTATATATATATCAAAATATAAATACAAGAAATTGTTGATTTTTATTCATCTTTATTTTTGGAGTACAATAGAATCTTTATTAATCGAATATCTTAATATCCGAACTATATATTTTCTATTATTTATTATCTTTATGTACAATAATGTAAATAAGATGCTTTTCTTATCACAGCAATGGAAATAGAATTTAATTTAGAATTGATATTGGATACGTTCATATATATATAGATATATATATGTATACAATAACATCGAAACTTGTATTTACGTATTAATTATTGAAACGAAATTAGAAATACTTAAGAAATTAGAAAGCGATGAGAATATTACAAATTTGGCAATAGTACTTATATAATATTTGGAAATCCACAATTGGCATTAAAAAGCAAAAGAATTGAAAAATTGAAAATTATTTGCACATTTCTTTGTATATTAAAAAATTTATGCAATTTGACAGCTTCTTAAAATCTTCTTAAAATAACGAACGAATCTTTATCTTTTTTAATTTTTATAATAAAAATTTATTTTTCTCAAAATATAGTTCTCAAAATATAGTTCTGCTGTATAGTTCTAGTAGAGTAA